GCACCACCACCAGAACTGACTCTTGGGTCTGGCACCACCACCAGAACTGACTCTGGGGTCTGGTACCACCACCACCAGAACTGACTCTGGGGTCTAGCACCACCACCAGAACTGACTCTGGGGTCTGGCACCACCACCAGAACTGACTCTGGGGTCTGGTACCACCACCACCAGAACTGACTCTGGGGTCTGGCACCACCACCAGAACTGACTCTGGGGTCTGGCACCACCACCAAGAACTTAGTGGCTTGGTAACAATATGGAAAGAGTTCTGATCTAGATCCCCACCCTATAACCATATATACAAGTGCTGGGCATGAAAAGACAAAAACTGATATGCTGCCAGGATTGAACTTGGGTCTGCCCCCGCCCATATAGACCTTGTCAACCATGTAAACGATTGAAATACCCTCTATGTAACTCATAAAATAGGTTCAATCACAACAGGCGAAGGAGCAATAACTTATTCTTGTAGTTTATTAGAAGTGTTGACCGGTTTCGCCCCTACAGTGGGCTTCTTCAGGACAAATTTATAGGACATTTCTTTCCCTGAAGTACTAAAATTGTGGGCACATACAGTTGATCTACATATATATATATATAGTGACATCATTAACAATGGCAGAGATTGTGACGTCATAAACAATAGGTAGTATTGTGACATCATCAATAGTTAGTACAAGATAGATAACTCTGTTAAGCCCATATCAATACATATCTAAAAGGACATCAATAGAAATGTTGTCTAGCGGGACATAATAGTTAGAGAATGTAAACTCTTTACATACTGAATAGTCCATTGGTAGGTTGTCGGGCAGAGTTTCATCCAGCTGGTAGATATACTGGTCTTAAAATAACGGATTTTGATAATCATTGTAAAGCTAGGTTGAGGTCATCTTGAATGATGGAAATAACCTACTAATATAGACTGAACATTATAAAGAGATAATAAAAGTTTTTGAGTCCAACGCCTAGATGAAGGAAAGGTACTCTCTTAGAGTGGCCATATGGTCACCATTTCCCTATGACATGGATCCCTGTCATACTGGGATGGCTCCTGAAAGTGTTGTTCAGAGGGAACTATATATATATGTAACTGTATATACAACTGCTGAGTATGATGCGNCTCTATGTAACTCATAAAATAGGTTCAATCACAACAGGCGAAGGAGCAATAACTTATTCTTGTAGTTTATTAGAAGTGTTGACCGGTTTCGCCCCTACAGTGGGCTTCTTCAGGACAAATTTATAGGACATTTCTTTCCCTGAAGTACTAAAATTGTGGGCACATACAGTTGATCTACATATATATATATATAGTGACATCATTAACAATGGCAGAGATTGTGACGTCATAAACAATAGGTAGTATTGTGACATCATCAATAGTTAGTACAAGATAGATAACTCTGTTAAGCCCATATCAATACATATCTAAAAGGACATCAATAAAAATGTTGTCTAGCGGGACATAATAGTTAGAGAATGTAAACTCTTTACATACTGAATAGTCCATTGGTAGGTTGTCGTGCAGAGTTTCATCCAGCTGGTAGATATACTGGTCTTATAATAACGGATTTTGATAATCATTGTAAAGCTAGGTTGAGGTCATCTTGAATGATGGAAATAACCTACTAATATAGACTGAACATTATAAAGAGATAATAAAAGTTTTTGAGTCCAACGCCTAGATGAAGGAAAGGTACTCTCTTAGAGTGGCCATATGGTCACCATTTCCCTATGACATGGATCCCTGTCATACTGGGATGGCTCCTGAAAGTGTTGTTCAGAGGGAACTATATATATATGTAACCGTATATACAACTGCTGAGTATGATGCGACCAATAAACATGTGCTTCTCAGACTAGCCCAATGGGTTCAATCTTAACTCTTGAGCATAGTCACTGAGTCATGACTTCAAAAATGGTTGATCACAAGATCCTCATCCAGTAGCCATATATAAATTGCTAGGCATGAAAAGGCTGATTCATAGATGTTACCAGGATTAGTCTTGGGGCTTTTGCCAACCCCTGGAAACTTATAATTAGTCCATGGAAATGGTTGAGAATTCCATGGCCACCAGCTGTATTGATATAATTGTCAGGCATGAAAAAACAAACCCAGTATTTACCTAGACGTTCTGCCCTGCCCTTAGGATTTTAGTCCCTAGTTCCTAAAATGGAAACTTGTAATCCCCACCCTTTGCTATATATTATGATATAACTTATAGCTGAGTATGAAGACTTTGATACTCATTCTACCCTATTATGATATAACTTATTGCTGAGTATGAAGACTTTGATACTCATTCTACCCTATTATGATATAACTTATTGCTGAGTATGAAGACTTGGATACTCATTCTACCCTATTATGATATAACTTAT